ACCTGACCAAGGCATTCCACTCAATACCACTAGCTGACGACCAAGTCGGAGCCTACGCTTTTCAGATTGACGGCGAATACTATGCATACACCACAATGCCAATGGGAGCTACGAACGCGCCCAAACATTTTCATGCCGTCATGGGCAAGATACTAGCCAAGCTACCCTTTGCCAACGACATACGATATTACCAGGACGACATATTTATCTCTGCCACCAACACTAAACAACTAAGACAACGATACCAAAAGACGATAGACTACCTGATCAAACGTAACTTCCAAGTTAATAAACTCAAATCTCAACTGAACTGTACAGATCTACTAGGATATACACTAAACAACCACCAACTGTCGATCCCAGACCAAAAATGGAAACGGATAGAAGAATTGCTACACTCAAACAACCTAGATCTAATAAAAAGAGCTGCACAAACGCTTTCCTACTATAAGCATACGCTAACCGACAGTCAACAATTCACTATACGTAAACTACTGACGAATAAAGTTAAAGATTCAGACATACTGACTATATACACTAAAGCACTGGCAGACAAACCCAGAAAGACCTTCTACGCATCAGCCGGGGAACCGCTTAAGTTATACTTGGACTCCTCAAATACAGCCGCGGGACTCATACTTAGACAAGCTGATAACACACTACTGACCGCATCGATACCGCTACCAGCAGTACATAACTATGCTAACTCGAATGAAGCCCAAGGCGCTTATATGTTAACCAAGAAGTACCTTAATCAAATCAAAGACTACACCAAAACCGCTAAGACAGACTTACAAGTCTTTACCGATAACGCTTTACTAGCCAAGGCTCTAACGAGCCCTTTAAAAATAGACCCTATAACCGAAACCATATACTATGCACGCAAGTTAAGAATACTACTCGACTCAATAAAGATGACAAAGACAACATACCATTATATACAAGGAAGCTTAAACCCAGCTGACAAACCATCGAGAACACGACTTAAGACTCAGGACAGAAAGAAGAACACAATTCACGCCAAACAATTATACAGAAAAATTTCCGCACACAACACGCCGTCATATACTCTATACCGCACACAGAACGCTCGCACACAATTTAGACCACAATTACCGATTCCAGATCGCACACGATCTAGATCAGATCTAGATCTAGATCTGGAGGAAATACCAGAGAAATCAAGAAAAAGAAGAATAATCTCTGAGACTACGACCATGACCGAGCCAACTCAGATCTCTGAGACAGACATTAAGAGACGGCGTCTCCCCACATATGACTAAACAAATTAAAATTTTATCATCTTTTTCCAACGATAAATCGAAACTTCAACGTTGATCTATTACCAATCTGAATTTAAAAAGATGACTTTAGTCGGCTCCAACTACCAATTAATTATTTCACAAATCGCTACCGCTATATCTTCATGCACTGACCCTGTGGCCAAGATTAATCTACAAATACAACTACGCAACCACATATACGAATCCCTAAAACAATCAGGGAACTTTGATGAGTTTACGCTCCGCCTAGAATGGGTCATGACCAACAACCATCTACAACTAACTAGCAGAGAAGTGGCGAACCTATACGCACTAGTTGCCAAGGCCGGTATTACCAGAGGCTTAGCTCTATTCCAAAACGGAGCTATAGCTCGAATAGGACCATCTGCCACTCGCGGCCGAGGCCGAGGCCGAGGTCGCGGCAGAGGTCGTGGCCAATAGGATATCGGACGGCGATCTAACCTTAGACCGCTGAGCCAGATAACTCCACAGCCGACTATACATGACAAAGGAAAAAGGGGCCTTGATCGTGTAAGACGATCTAACGATGTCCTTCCGTTTAGCGAAAGGCTGAACGCGAATAGCCTACCAGTATACCACGGAAGACTTCCAACTACAGCGAAACAACTAAAGATCTATCGAAAATGGCGAGATGATCTACTCGCACAAGGCAAGATTACCAGACTAAACCATAAGCCGAACTTTACACTACATGCGCGCATCGTAAACGAGCGCGTAACGCATGATTGCCGACCGTTGCTACCATTCATCACCACCGATGGCAGATTCCCGAACATACAGAGCTGCTGGCCCATCGTGGCTTGGGCCGCGCAGCAAGCATACTTAGCTAAGATCGACCTGACCAAGGCATTCCACTCAATACCACTAGCTGACGACCAAGTCGGAGCCTACGCTTTTCAGATCGACGGCGAATACTATGCATACACCACAATGCCAATGGGAGCTACGAACGCGCCCAAACATTTTCATGCC